TATATATATGTGTGTGTGTGTGTGTGTGTGTGTGTGTGTGTGTGTGTGTGTGTGTATCATTATATACAAGTACGTGGGTGCATGCGTGATTATGTATATACATATATATGCGTGTGTATGTATCATTATATATAAGTATGTGGGTGCATATAGGATTATATATATAGATATATATATGTGTGTGTGCAAATATGTTTTATGTGTCATTATGTGTGTATGTATCATTATGTATATGTGCTTATGTATCACTATATACATGCGTGTGTGTTGCATGTATATATATATATATATATATGTGTGTGTGTGTGTGTGTGTGTGTATGTGTACATATATCATTATAGACATGCGTATGTGTCTTATATATATATATATATATATATATATATATATATATATATATATATATATATATGTGTGTGAGGGGCTTGTGAATATATATGTATGTGTTTGTTAATATATATGTGTTAGATTGTAAGTATGTTTTTGTGTATGTGTCATTACATATGTGTGAGTGTGTGTGTGTATGTGTAAATATATATCGGATAAAATATCGGATGTTTTGTGGATATATTAAAAGAGAATCATCTAGGTATCTAAAATAAGAAGAATTTTGTAGTGGAATATTTTTAAATGGACCACTTTCAAAAGATTCCAAAATTAGACAAGCCAAAATGCCACTAAGAGGAGATTCCATGAGTAAACTGAATTTTTGTCAATAAAAATTGTTATCGAAGCTTAAAAAACATTGATTAGTGATTTAATCTTGCCAAAATTTTAACCCCACTTCTTGGTACAATTAGATCCTCACGTATAAATAACTGGTATTTTTTTAAATAAATTTAAAAACAAATACATTTAAAAATAAATATATGAGTAGTTAAGATATAAAAGTTTTATATAGAAATCTTCCTATAAAGGAATGCCTAACTTTACTAAAAACACACTTTATATTGTAACAAGTATTTATATACAAGAGAAAAAATGTTATTGGTTTTTCAACATTTTTAAGTTTAGGAACGCTCATCTATACTCATCAGGTAAGCTGGAAACGACGTGACATAAACCAATATCTAATCATTTAGACATTTCTTTACAGGAACATTTGTGTATAAAGATTGTATATCTAAACCAGTCATATACTTGTTATCATAAATTTACTAAAAACAAACTTAACTAAAACAAATAAAAAATTACCTTTCCCTACACATAAGATCATAGAAATGCGCCATGTAATTACTAATCAATGTTTTTTAACTTTCGATAACAATTTTTATTGGCAAAATTCTGGTTTACCAATGTGGTCTCCTCTTAATGACGTTTTGGGTTGTCAGTTTTGTTTTTGGAACTTCTGGAAAGTGGTTCTTTTTACCACAAGATTCTTTTTATTTTAGATATAGAGATGATACTAAGTAAATATATGTGCACCTGTGCCATTATATATATATATATATATATAAACAAAAGAAGTGTTTTACGAAGCAACAACGTACTCAGTACATAATATTAAAGCATGTAAATTCAATTAAAAGAGAAAATAATTAATTAAGGCGAAAATATATTGAGAGTGTACTAATTTCTGAGTCTTCCACTGTAGATTTACGTTCAGGATCATATCTCCTTTCCTAACGGAACAACTGCGATCAATGCGTAATATTTAAAAGCAATAATGATAAAACCAATAGCAAAAAAAGAAAAAAAAAATTAAAATGTTGAAGGAGCTTGATTATGTTAAACACGTAGATATATCGAAGGAGAATATTTTAAAAATTTAAATTTAAATTTAAGATCATGTATCTTCAACGTTTCTAGGTGTGGAATCGATCGTTAGTTGCTTTATCTGACGATCGTTATTCATATCTTAGAATACTGTCAAAGATTGCGAAGGAATGGATTCTGAAAGTTTGTTACTGCTTTGTTTAAAGGTGATTTGAAACATCGTTCTATATTTCAATTATATGTGTTTGTATGTGTGTGTGGTAGCGCAGTTCTGCACGCCACTGCACCAGCTGTGATGACATCCAATGTCGGCGAATACACCGGCGCTCACTATGTTCCACAGATTTGTCTCATTAACTAGGGCCGTGAACGCCGTCAACAAGACAATATAGACAAATACTTTTCAAGACACTTGTTGGGTCGGGAAGTAGCAAAAAAAAAAAAAAACATACGATTTCTCACTTAATCGTCAATGCGTTCCTTCCGTTACGAGAAAGCGAACTTCTTCTGACTTCTCACTAAGTCCCGGTCACGAAACGAACCCTTACACTGCCCGGCCGTTTCACTGACAGACCGATTCATTATATGAACACTGGCTGGGGGACACACAACCCTTTTTCCCTCTACTCGTCTTCTACCAGCTGTGCTACCAGCCGGAAAGTGCTATCAGCAAGACAGGTTTTAGGTGGTTATTCCTTCAATGGACCCTACTTTTACGGCTATGTAAAAACACTAACAGGATTTTATGTTCGACAGTTCAGACGTGGGCTGGAGACAAGATTCCTGAAAAACTCTGGTCATTAAATAAAGTTCATTCTATTCATTCCCTAAAGATGTGTGAAAAATCGTATTGCTACCTATGCATGTATAAAGAATTAACTAAGTTTTTCTATATTGTTTTCTCTGTCACTTGAAGCTTATGTTTCATTGCTTCCTTTTCTGTGGTACATCTGTTAGACTGTCTTTTACATCTTTCGTTTCATTTTTACTTTTTTTTTTCCAGATATTTCACTAAAATGGCGTTAATCACAGTAATTAAAATAAAAAGAAAAGTTAATTTTGACTGTCCGCATATCTAGAAAAATTAATAACATCGCAGTAAAAAGTTTGTTTGTTTGTTTGTTTTTTTCTTCCTTTGGCGTCTGCTTATGGTTCACCTAGATACACCGATCATTCGGTTTTTGTAAACTCATTTTCACCAACAATACATCGACGTCTTCGCCAACTCTCCCTCCTGCTCAGCTGCTTTGAAACATTTTGGTTAGGAATTTCGAATTAAATTCATGGAATGATGTAATTCTGTAAAAGAAATAAATATATAAATATATAATAGATGCATGCAAAATTGTCAAGCGTTTATAAAAATTGTTTTCTACTGGGTATTCAGTCAGAAGTTTTGAAAAAAAAAAAAAAAAAAACTACCCTATTGGCGGGGTTTGCGACACGCCAACGGAGTCTCCTGATTAGAGGTAAGTTAATCCCAAATTGTATATCTTCAGAGTATAAATCGTACCTATGTCGACTTTTTGTTTTCTTTTTACTCAAGTTGCAAACCGTTCGAGTTGTCTACTTTTTCGAATATCGTTCAAAACGAAGCTGCATCTACGTTTTTGTTCCTCGTTTAAAACAGACCCTTGTCTGTCATTTTTAATCTTTGGATTCTCGTGCAAATCGAACCTATGACTACCTTTGTGTCTTTCGTGCAAACCGAACCTATGTCTACGCTTTGTGACTTTCGTGCAAACCGAACCTATGACTACGTTTGTGACTTTCGTGCAAACCGAACCTATGACTACCGTTTGTGACTTTCGTGCAAACCGAACCTATGACTACCTTTGTGACTTTCGTGCAAACCGAAACTATGACTACGTTTGTGACTTTTGTGCAAACGGGACCTATGTCACCTTTTTTTTTTACTGTACTATGTATAGATGGCCACTCGTATTCAAGGATACCCGTCTACTATGCTGAGCAGACCTTAGTTACAGTTTCCTAGAAAAGCGTGTTTAACTATCAACAATTTCGGCCACGATGACTAGTGGCTTGTCAAGGGTTCCGTCTACTCAGTTTCACTCACAAGGCTTGGGTCAGTTTTCAGGCAATTTCCAAAAATGCACGTGGATAACATCAGGATGTCTCCTTCCTGACAAATCGACCATGGTGAGATTCGAACTCGGGTTTCATGGTCAGAATGCAAATGTACTAATCATTTGGCTTCATGTCCATTTACTGTACCTGTTTCTACGTTTTTTTTTTTGGGGGGGTTTTTTTACTCTCGTGGAAACCAGACCTATGTCTAAATTTCGAATTCAAGATTTATTGCTTGAAAATACAGCAGTTGTGGCTTCCAAATATCGAACTCTACTGTAAACCTGGCGTATTTCTACCTTTTTCAATATCGTTTAAACCAGAACTGCGTTTAGCAATCTGATTAGTGTAAAACTTGTACGTCTACCGTTTGGAATATCGTGCAAACAGGGGCTATATCTACCTTTTTAATTTCGTTCAAAATAAACGTGTGTCAAACTTAAGTGGTTCTTGGGGTTGTTGTTATATAGGAATAAAGTGCCGCTGCCGACACTTGAGTTTGAACATTCGCCAGCAAATACAGGCGATCCCATTATTGAATTAAGTAGATCACGTGACCATAAAGGAAACACATATATGAAGGTAGCGTGACGTCTAACGATCGTCATTTCTATTCTATCCTTTATTACTATTCGGATCGCTATTTCTATTATATCCTCTATTACTATACGGACCGCTATTCTCTACTCTGTTCAATATACTATTTCTCTATTCGGATCACTATACGGATTACTGTTCGAGCGAGTATTATCGAGCAAGTACTATTAGTGCGAGTGATATTCGAAGGCGTCTGCCACCAGTATAGTTCAACGGCGTTACTATAGTTGTATCTGCGATTACAAAGTCTCTGCTACAACGAGCATTTCTAAAGTGGTAACGAGTATTCGTTGACATTACAAAAGTGGCAAGGAGTGTTCGTTGACATCACAAAATATGTATTTAGTGCACATTAGTATAAGGTAGAGTATAACAAGACTAATCATAACAACCAAAGTTTGCATAAGTCCTAATAGCAGAACAAATCGTAAACTAAGACATTGATAATGACATTTACTAATTGATTTATTCATGGGTCATTTAATACCGAAATTTAATTTTCTTGTGTGCGTTGAAATAATAAAAAAAGATAGATAGATAGATAGATAGATAGATAGATAGATAGATAGATAGATAGATAGATAATGAATAGCAGTGAGTTAATACAGAGATAGAGATAATAAAGACTCAGATAGATAGATAGATAGATAGATAGATAGATAGATAGATAGATAGATAGATATTGAATAGCAGTGAGTTAATACAGAGATAGAGATATGTAATAAAAATTCAGATAGATAGATAATGAGTAGCAGTAGGTTAGTACAGAGACATGCATAAAGACAAAGAAAGAAAGAAAGAAAGAAAGAAAGAAAGAAAGAAAGAAAGAAAGAAAAAGAAAAAAAAAAAGAAACTGGCTGCTGATGTCAAAATCAACCTTCAGTCTGTTGTTAACTGGGGCAAAAGATGGCTTGTTAATTTTAACGCCTCCAAAACTAAGCTGCACTCTAATAATCATTTGAGATACCCCAATCTGACTTCCATCAGCATGGCTGATGCTAAGCCCTAACATTGTGACTCGTTGCGTCTTCTTGGGCTAACATTCTCGGGTGAAATGAAGCGAAAAGTCTATATTAAATCCATGCTCAAATTATTAGTGCCACATATGGTCCGGTGCTTCGGCTATAAAAAAAAATCGTCTAAGATGTGTGTTTATAAACAGTAATTCGGACTTGGCAAACCAAAGACTTCTTTGCGGCTGAATGGTTAACAGCATGTCAGATCAAATGATTGTTCCCCATAAGGGTTACAGGTTCGATTCTTGTCGCAGAAGCACATATTTTCTACGAAAACTTTCAGGACGGTAAGTGTAATTAATAATGTTTAATTAAAAAACAGAGCATTTACTTAAATAAATTATATCTATAAAAATAACGTATAAACAGAAAATATATTAAATAATTGTCGGATTTAATACATTTCATTTATATATATATATATATATATATATATATATATATATATATATATATATATATATATATATATATATATATATATATATATGCATCATATCTTCATTTATATATGTTTCATTGAATAATATAGACATATTGCGTCTACTTATTTTTGTACTGATCCTTTTCGGTTCTCTAATCAGTTTCTTGATGTTAAGATGAAATTCATCAGGGAAGGTGCCGTATTTTGTTTTTAACCCACGTACTTTCGATCTTTTCCAATGCCATCTTCAGGAATAATTTACATTATATTATAACGACGATTAAATTTCCATTCCGTTGTGATGGTGATTTAAAAAAAAACACACAAGAAAAGGCTCTGTAAATATAATAAAATTTAAAATTTATGCGTTGTATCTATGGATTTTTTTTTACCAGACAAGCGTTTCAATATAAGGGAGCTGACCAGAAATTGATAGAAATGCAAAATGGCATTAAATTTTTGTTATATGTACTTCAATACGTTGCGGCTACACTATATATAGGGGACGGAAGAAAGAAATAAAAAAAAAGCAGCTTCAAGGTTTCTTGCATTTCTTTACCCACCACCATACATATAAAACTGTCACCATCGATAAAACCATTATGAGTCTGAAGAATTTTCTTCTAGTGACGAAATACTTTACATAGGCCTTTTTTTTTCCATTTTATCATTTGATCACGATTATTCATATATATATATATATGTATATTATATATTCCATAGATAGATAGATAGATAGATAGATAGATAGATAGATAGATAGATGAACAGATAGATAGATAGATAGATAGATAGATAGATAGATAGATAGATAGATAGATAGATAGATGAAGAACAGACTGAGCAGGATAGATAGATAGATAGATAGATAGATAGATAGATAGATAGATAGATAGATAATGTTGTTTAATGCATATATTTAAATATGTAAAAACATGCATATAGGAATATACTTCAGCAAAATGTCAGAACACCTATAAAAAGACACTTTTAAAAAAAAAATCCGTTTACTCACCTCACCTGTTGGCATAACTACGTTATTCCAACCTGAAAGAAATATCATCAAATGGATAAATATCAATTTAATAATAAATAAGTATTTTTAAAATTATTTATTTTCTTAAATAGAATGGTGTATACATTTGTATAAAATATAAATGCAGCAGGTTAATAAAAAAAATGAGGTTTGCGTAAACAAATGATCAAGTTTGCATGAGTTATGTCCCCTTTCCTAAGACTTTATATATCATTATTTTGTTCGATTCTAATTTTAGCAGACTACTGGTTAAATCGATACATAAATTGATGCCTCATTGGTTTATGTATGCATCTGCATGGATTATTCCAATGGACAGTTACTTTAATTAGTTTTGAAACTAATCATTTTTGAACCACAATTAGAATATCAGTCATATATATATATATATATATATATATATATATATATATATATATATATATATATATATAGATATATCCCGTCGTATTCGACGCATGAAGGTCAAGCAGCTCAGATTCCAGATACCGACAGTCAAAGGGACAGGTAAACGTAATCTTCTGCGTACGCCATCAGCGTAAAGGAATGTAACTGAAACGTGTGTAATATGACGGCAATCTTTCTCATCTTGGAATTTTCCATTAGTTGATTAATTACTCAGAGGAATTAATCAAAACTGTTTTCTGTTTGAATTTATTGGATGAAGACTTACCATTATTTAAACTATTTACATGCAGACTATTGTCCTTGTCTTTGTTTTTGTTATCACAACGTTTCAGCCATTTTAGCCTCCGGCCTTCATCAGGGGTATGTCAGTCCTGGTAACCTACAGTAAATTCCGAACTTAACTCTTTATTTACTATTGGGCGTATACTGTTCTCGTTCCACGGCCCATGGCTCAGAATAACTTGTCTAGTCCTTATTTTGATAACTGCTCTGTTATTGCTCGCCCTGTTTCCACTGCCAGGCCTAGGAATTGAACTTACAATTGCCATATCCATGGGAGGAAGAGCCTAGTGGATTAAAACATGTTTCCTAAGATAAACGATTTAGATAATTCGATAAAGAGGTGGAATCGCACCCACCTCCCCCCAAAAAAAAAAAACTCAGTCGTGAGTGAGTACTGGTTTGCATAACAACCTAGAGTTTTGCCTGAATCAAACCGGAAGTCTATTTGCAAAAGAATGAAAAGCGTATGTTCGAATGAAGTTAAGCGACGTTGAGAGACAGATGGAATTTACCTGTTAATTAAAAAAAAAAAAAAATCAAATTTTGGGTCATTTATCAGGACTTACCTCTTGGATAGCAATCCCACTTTGAACAACACATGCACCTTCGTATGGTTCGTTTTATTTCTATAAAAATATAGAAAATATGCGTCATCATAATTAATTTTATTAACAATTTAAAAAAAAATGATTTCTCTTCGTACAGCTGATATTGTTCGATATCGACCATATTATAATATATTTATATAAATATTTTTATCGATCATTTTCATATATATATATATATATATATATATATATATATATGTGTGTGTGTGTGTGTGTGTGTGTGTGTGTTACAATTATTGTTTTTAAAATATGATTCCATCGCTACATAAGAGTTGTCATGTTTCAAATGCAGAAGCTAAAACCTTCAATTTAATTATAGAAATTAAGTTGTATTAAAGTACCCAGCTCTGTTTCAACCTCAAGCGAATTTTGAAATAACTAATCTTGAAATTTACGGAGATTAGTTTTTTTATAAAAAAATTATTATAATTTAGGCTTTACTTGTATATTGAGCACAGTTTTTTTTTTAAATAAAAACAAAAATAAGAACTTCGGATTACGACAAGAATTTGTAAATGCATGCGCAAATCCCACTGGACAATTTGGCCAACGTTGCCCAAACAATAGTTCACCATACTAATAAATGTCTGGAAGTTAAAGAGCACAATTCTCAGCATCTCTTCTGATTGTAGAGTCCAAAGGTAACTTGTATTAATTTCGTGATGTCTGAATAAATTTAGTATTACAATATCTATACAAGTTTTTCCTTTCGTGAAATGTGTACACATTTTTGGCTTGAACTCTCTCTCTCTCTCTCTCTCTCTCTCTCTATATATATATATATATATATATATATATATATATATATATATATATATATGTGTGTGTGTGTGTGTGTGTGTGTGTGTGTGTGTGTGTGTGTGTAAGGTGTATTTAGACAATAAGATTTTTTGTGAAAAAAGTTCTGCCCGTCGAATTTTTATTATTAAGTTTTTCCAATTCCTGACTAATTTGTTTCATGCCAGAATTAATATGCACATTTTATAAAATTCTATTTTTTTATTTTTTATAATCCGAGTACTAAATAATCCGGGTATGTTTCTGAAAAGGAGATCGTATATTGATGTGCGTATTAAAAATTTTAAAAATCACGTAAAAATTAAGTTTGACCATTTAAAGCGAGGTCACATTTAAGTGCCTTGAAACTGGTTCCAGTAATCTACGGAGGTCGCTATTAGCCAATTACATTTTCATGAGCACAAAAAAAAAACACGTTGTTGTTGTTGTTGATGACAGTCGAAAGTACACGGAATAAAAAAAAATAAATTTTGAAAGTTTACCAATTATAATACTGGCATAAAATAGCTGAGCCGAAAGTTGAAAAAATAATAAAAATTGGACAAACAGACCTTGTTGGTATTGTTTTACAAAACTTTTTAATATACACTAGCGGGGACACTCGGTGTTGCTTTGAAGAAATAACTTCATTATAACAACTTTCTAAAAACATTAATTTTAAATTTAATTGAATATTTTATTTATTTAATACTTAATGATTTTACTAATACAAATTTCAAATTGTTATTGCATTTTATTTAGTGTTTTTAATCGTAGAACAATGTTTGATAAATTCGAACAACTCAATGAATTTTCAATGCAGTACAATGTCGTCTGTTTGCAGCCAAATTTTATCGTAAATTTTCTTCAAATAATTTTATATTTAATATTCTTCTTCGTTTAAATTTTGTTCAGTAATAATACTAAACTTTAATAAATTTTAATCCAATTTAATTTTTTGTTTTTGTAATAGTTTGCTTTATTAAATGAATTTTTTATAATTTTTGTTTAGAATATTTGAATAAATAAATATTAAACATATTTTCAAATAATTGCTTTTAATATACTTCGTCTTTTAAATTTACATTGTTGTTTTAATATTCATTTAAACTTGCGCTTTACGTCCCCAAGTTGGAAAATTCTGAAATTAACATGTAGTAGAGTTCTACCATAGTTAGAGAGTGCGGCGGAGGCACTTGCGCCGGCCCTGTCTGAATAAATTCAAGATATTTGAAGAATCGATATTAAGCTTAATATAAATTGGATGAATAAAAAAAAATTAAAATAATTACACAAAAAAAGATACAGAAATAAATTCAAGGGAATAGACATTTTTAAAATTCATATAGCGTTTCGAAATTATCAGCAGAATTAAAAAGGAAAAAACGAACGGGAATAATTATTATTCGCGTTATTTTTTACTTTTTAATTCTATTTAAACGTTCGAAAGGCTAAATAATGATACATGGCTAAAAATGTATTCTAATGCAGTTATTACATATTTTTAATTTAAAATATCTTAACAAATACAAATCATATGATGATAAGTTTTTTGCAAAAAGGTGGGTTTGGTGATACTGAGTCTGTATAATTATTTATTTTGTCGACAATTATTGTAGTTTTAGCCGGACACACAAACAGACAACTGCCCTTTGAATATATATATATATATATATATATATATATATATATATATATATATATATATATATATATATATATATGGTAGTTGTCGCTTGGAAAAACCTAGGATAGCTCAACTTGCAGTAGAGGAAGAGAACATTTAGTAAAAAAAATCAGGTGAGTCACTTTTATCGAACAGCTCTGTATATATATATATATATATATATATGTGTGTGTGTGTGTGTGTGTGTGTGCGTGCTAGCATAGAAAAATGACAGGAGTATTTACATATGGACGGGTACATTTTCCTGACAAATATGTGTAAACCATACGTTCTACCAAGAAGGAAAGTGTCGCTCCTCAGGACTTTTCGCAAGGGTCAGTGAGTGATATATGTTTCTCCACATCAGGCATGTTTTCATCTTAGGGGGTGACCCGGCGCCTTCTTGCTTTCGAGTAGGACGAGGCTAAATGCGAGAGGAGCCTGATCATGGGGAAATTACCCCAAGCATCTTCTTGTCATTTTAAGAACTTAAAACGTGGATTGGGTGATTATAGATATAATCAAAGTGATCATAGAAATCAATAAAATATTGTTTGATGACTTCTTAGCGTGTGAAATGACCAATCAATATACAGTGTTGATTTTTCTAAGTCCACAGTGTGCCTGTGCGTGTCTGTGTATTCCATTTAGGACCGGTGCGTACAACCCCCGAACCCCACGACTGGGGGTCGCGCCCAAGTCTAATTAATTGAGAGCCTTGGGTAGTGTTTTATGACACTCACTATCTTATCAGTATTTGCTTTTTCTACCTACATTTATATACAGTACAAATTAAACTAAACACAACTGACTATTAAGGAAGTAACATTTTTCGTGGATTTTGATATCATTCTGGGGTCTTTTTTTCACTCAAATCTGTGAATTTGTTTTGCTCATGCTAAGTCTCACAAGAGCACTATATAAAATTCACTATTTTCTATCCATAATGTTGAATGTGTTAAAATTATTCAACTTTTCAACAACAACAAAAAATGTTGATGTTAAAAATGACCGAAAAACATTGTTGGTTTATTTAAGATGGAATGAAATATTACGACATGTCTCTAATTTGTATTTAGATACATTGCATTTATTTTCCATTTTTCTAGGTGAATTGTTTATCTATATTGCATATGATCCATTATTGCAAACAATTAGGTTACA